TTTTATTTATTTTTTCTTTTATTTTTTAATATACGTACATATTTATTTTATATGCCAACGGATCATATCCGGAAACCTGTTTGTCCCTCGTCGGCTCAGGTACTGGTGGTTGCAACCAATAGGATTATGTTGATCCTGGTTGCCCTGGTAATGTACCGAACTGTCCAATTAGATTTCGTCAGGGGAGTCACGTGATCGGAATCCGGAAGTGTTTCAGTTGGACATGGCGCCCACGGCGATTTTGGCGGGCACGAGAATGCTACACACCTGTATGTGAGTATACACCATTATATGTCCTATATAAGTGTATGTCAATGCTTTTGATATTTTGTGTCCTGATGAAAGCTCCTGTGAGGAGCTGAAACGTCGATCTATACTTCGCAATAAATGAAGATTTGTTTGTGGTGAAACCCTTGAGTGCCGGTATTACTTTATCATATTCTATCCAGCCACCAGAGCACCAGGTATTTAATTTTGTTCATAGTTGGAGTGCAGGGGTCTTCTGGATTTTTGTATTATAGAGTGTTTGGCTTACACTCTCCTCAGTGCACCCACAGTATCAACAGCAATATATTGCTATTATTCCCTACTGTTTTAAGGGAAGTCACTTCACATTGGGACTTATACTTTTGTAACTGCACATTCCAGCAGTGGAAAGGTGCTTGCATTTTGTTTTTAACTTAAGTTTTGGTAAAGTTGCAGCACTATTTTTAAAGCATATCATTAAAGATTTTGTATTTTATACATATTTCAAGTGAACTCAGTGCAAGATTGATGAGTTCTTGGAGCAGCTCATTTTTTGAAGTTAACAGCATATGAATACGAATATGGAGGATTTTTTGTCACAATCAGGTGCCAGTGCATCACAAGCTCATACGCTTCAATTCAGTGATGTCCAGGCAGAAGAGATATTGTGGAACACAACCAGTTCTGAATTTCCAAACACAATCACTCTTAAGGATGTATACCATAAACTTATGAAACTAAAGAAAAAAGAAGTTGACCTTGATTTACATGGTACTTTTTTGTCCGATTATCATCGAGCTAAACACATCCCCCGTGGCTTTAGGGTGAGAAATATTCCTACAATAGGAAGAAAGAAAGCTAGGGTGTGCCAAGACTGGACAGCAGTACTTAATAAGTGTTCTTTAGACCTCATGTTGGTTACGATTCAGGATGTGAAGGAGGACCTTATTGAGATTAGAGGGAAAATTCAAAGTCTAGAAACAGAATATGCCCTCCAATTGAGTACACAAGAAGGGATGGAAATTATGTTGAAGTTGAGTGAGGAAACTTTAAAATACAAAAATCAATTAATTAAGTTTAAACGACAGAAAATGGAGATGGTCCAATTGGACTATCAGGAGGGAACGGTCTATAGATGGTTAATGGGAGATCAAAAAGGGAAACCGAGAAGATTCCGTAAAAGAATCTTCAAACCAAATATAACCACTATAGACGTAACATCAGGTGAATCGGCTTCTGATAATGAAGCAACCCAAATACGTTCTGATAGACCCCCTTTTTTAGACAAAGATGGGGTAACCAACAGGATCACACATTCCACGGCAGTGACAAGAAGCAGAGCAAAAGACGCAGGAGGCCACATATCAGACGTGGACAGAAAGGAAGACCACATGGGTCCCAAAGGCAAACCCCCGATTCGCAAATAATCCCAGTATTTAACCTCTCCACACGAGTATTAACACCTTCTGAGACCCTAGTGCTAAGTAAGGGCCTCTCGTTTATTCCAACTTCGTTTCCCAATAAATTTAATTGGGAAGTAGATTTGTTCAAATTTGGTCGCTCCTTGAGACTTAAAGAATTTTTCAAAAATTCTCCCTCCTCTTCTTCTAATTCCACTATGATGACAACTTCATATCACTTCAAATCTCCCAGCACGTTTGACCCTCCGTCCAATCAGGTAGCCATCAAATCTTTCCTTTCAACAACCAAATGGGAATCAGACTCCATGTTAAGTCATCACCATTTGAAACATTCTAATCTATCAAACATTGAACATTCCTTGATTAAGAATTTAGCTATGGATCCTACAATTGTAATTCGTCCGGCGGATAAGGGGGGAGGGATTGTGATTCTAGATTATAAAACATATGCTGCTGAAATCAGGCAACAATTGAGTGATACCAAGACCTATCAGTTACTAGATGGTGATCCCACTAGTGCTATAGCCAAAAATATTGAGGAAGGACTGACATTTGGCTTAAATGCAGGTCACTTAACATTGGAATTATTCCAATATTTGCAAATCAAATACCCTCGTACCCCTGTTTTATACACACTCCCGAAGATACACAAGAACTTGGAACATCCACCGGGACGTCCCATAGTATCCGCCACTCGAGGAATTCTTGAACCAATACCTTGATTTTTTGTTCAAGGATCCAGTTACCTCTCTATCAACATGTATCAAAGATACTCCTGATCTCTTACAACGTCTTCAACAAGTGGGTCCTTTCGACGGTATCCTTATGACCTTAGACGTGGAAAGTTTGTACACTATAATTCCCCATGATTCAGGTATACAAGCTATGCGGAATCTTCTCATTCATTCGTCACAATATCATGGCCCGTCGATTGAATTTGTTTTGGAACTTTTGGGCATTACATTGCAAAATAACTACTTTCGCTTCGAAGATAGCTGTTATTTACAAATAGCTGGAACCTCAATGGGGGCAGCTATGGCTCCTATGTATGCAAATGCTTTCATGTTTGCGTACGAGACCCAGCATATTCTCCAATGCTATACACACCAGATCTGTCGTTATTTCAGATTCATAGATGATATTTTAATCTTGTGGAATGGCACAAAAGAGGAGGCGATACAGTTTGTGGATAATCTCAACAGGTTACCGACACAGGTTAGGTTAACCTCAACGATAGATGAGCAACGTATCCAATTTTTGGACATTGAACTGATGATCATTAATCGAAAGTTAGAATACACATTGTTCACTAAAACCACAGACCGCAATACCCTGTTACACTATGGGAGTTTCCATCCGAAACATCTCAAACAGTCGCTCCCTTATTCACAATTCCTACGAGTCTTACGAAATAACTCTCTTGAATATTTATGTGAGCAACAAATACAATCGATGCACGAAAAATTTCTCTTGAGAGGATACCCATGTCAGGTATTGGATAAGGCATTGGATCGTGCGAAATCCAATTTTAATACCTTACCCTCGGTAACCCAGAAACAGATGGACAATAGGTGCCTATTCCCCATGCAATT